CAACCAGAACAATTGCAGAGGAGGAAAAGTTTACTTGAGGGCTCACAGTTTCAGAGGTCTCAGTCCACAGAAGTCTGGCTCCATTCCTCAGGGTTCAAGATGAGGCAGAACATCATGGAGGAAGAGTATTAGCAGAGGGAAGCTGCTCACATGATGATCAAGAAACAGAGAGAGGGGCTGGGGATGGGGCTCAACGGTAGAGTGCTGGCCTAGCCTGTGCGAGGCCCTGGGTTCGAACCTCAGCACCACATTAAAAAAATAAATAAATAAGATAAAGGTATTGTGTCCAACTACAATTGAAAAACAAATATTTTTTTTAAAAAAAAGAAATGGAGAGAAAGAGGGATCTCCCCTTGCCAAATACAATATATATTCCCAAAGCCATGCCCCCAATACCCCCCCCCTCCAGTCACACACCCCACCTGCCTTCAGTTACCACTCAATTAATCCCATCAGGTGACTAATTTCACTGATTGGGTTAAGGCTCTATGATCCAATCATTTCTTCTCTGAATCTTCTTGCACTGTCTCACACGGGAGCTTTTGGGGGACACCTCACGTCCTGTCAGGAGTGGCAGATGAATCCTAGTCCTTGAGTTGTCCGGAAACAGAGGCAAATCCCTGCCTGGGAACTCCCAGAGCAAAAGGGTTGATTTGAAACTGCCCAGCTGCTGTGGTGATGCCCTGTTCAAAGGGAAATTCTGTGCCTGCCACAGGTTTATCAGTTCTTCACCTTGGATTTATATGCCACCTGCCTGGGGTAGAGAATTATGGATGCAAGCTGATAGTTCTAATTGGGCTGTTTATACCCTCAACTTTGGTTCTGTTTTATCTTGAAGAAACCTTCGCAATAAATCCTTTGGATGTTAAAACCTACATAATAAACACGCAGAGCTTGTTCACGGTCCCTGCCTCCCTGCCAGGGCTGTTAATGACCCACCGGGACCCAGCTTTTTCTCTATGTGTGTGTCTGTTTGTCTCTTCTTCATCCCCTCACTGACGGGTTTGTTACCTGAATTAATGGCCGTGTAGGTCACGGCAGCCTCCCAAGTCACTGTGATGACAGGTCTATGCCACCATACCCAGCTATGTTAAACTTGTATATATCATCTCATTCTTCCCTCGCAACCAGCCTGAGAGGGCACCTTGTTCTGCAGATAAGGACAATGAGGCTCTCTGGGACAGGGAGCTGAGTGATGGGCCTACGGTCAGACATTGAGTTAACAGCCGGGTTGACCAAGGTTGTTTCTTCATTCTTTCTCTCCCTTCCATCTTTCTGTCTTTCCTCCTTTCTTTTTTCTCTTCCTTCCTCTTGGCAGATATTAGCGCCCATAACACATGTCAGGGGTAGAACAGTGAACATGACATGTTCTGTGGCCTCCCAGCGAGACCCACGTGGAGACAGCTGCCCCTGGAGACCCTCAGGGGTCTTCCTTTGGTTTTTTGGAGGTGAACTTGTTTAGACTGAGCTATCAGGTCTCTTAGGTATATCTATCTGGAGCTTGGGGACAAATCTGGGAGCCAGCCTTTGGGAGTGAAGGATATTGTCCAAATTAAGGAGTGTGATGGGAAGACAAACTCAGGATAGATCAGAGTGGGTGGCAGGACTGTGGGAATGATGGGGACAAAGAAGAGAGAGCCCATGGTAGGGCCGTGGAGGAGCATCAGTGAGGGTAGGGCAGAACCAGAGAGGGCTGTCCTGGAAGTCAAGGAAGGTCAGCATGCCAGGCCACAGGGCGTGGTCACAGCATCCAGGTTAGCCTGAGAAGTCACCCGATTTACAGCCGCATTTTTTCCCCTAATACAGAATTCCTCCTTTTATTTCTTTTTGATAGAGTGAAAAGCAAGACATTCTCTTAGTTTTGACTCTAACCATCAGGACTCACACCCCAGAGCCAATCCTCTTTTACCAGGTCCCTGTGACACAGTCAGGGGCACCATCCAATGAACCCCTCAGGACTAAGACAGCCTTGTTAGCTCTCAGTCTTACCAGAAAATTAGGAGTTAGGGGTGCACCAGTCTTCAAGCCTTTGGGAGTGAGAGATCACACGCCAGGAGACAGGAGACTGGGAAAGCCCACTCAGCCTCTTTGAGATTATGTGCTCAGCAGAAAATGCCAACCAAAGCCAGACAAAGCAGGGTCTGCCTTATTCAGAAAATAATAATATTAGGGACTTTTCCAGAAGACAAGGGTAAACTCCAGGTGGTGTACCATAGACACAAAAGTGACCTACGGTGGCCTTTACCTGATTAACATAGTAAAATGTGCACCACTAGGTGGAGACTTCAGATGGTAATGAGACATGGAACACGTGGGGAAGCATGCAGAAGAGTGCAGGCACAGCTAAAACCCCACCTCTGTCCTGTGCTGGAACCAAGCTGACACTCTGGATCAGTGCTGGGTCATCCTTCTGGCTCCAACAGAAACTCTCTTTGCCCCCAATAAAGAGCTTTGTTCCTATGAGTCTGTGCTTCTGTCTGATTCTTCTGGTAAAGAGCACAAGAAGCCATTGAGCTGGTGACGTGCATGCTGACCACGAAGGGACATCCCCCTTGAGGAGTTTCCATAGGGGAACGCTGATAGTGGAGATAGCTGACCTGGACTGTCCTTGTGATTGACTAACGCAGCTGCCTGGTCACATAGGTGGGTCTGCACCCCTAGCTGTCCCCTGGGACAGCTCCCTCTCTACCCTCCCTTTGTTCTTTGGCCTCTGATTTCCACCCCTTTCCTTCTGTTGTTTTCCCTTCTGACTAATAGGACACAATCTTAATCTATCTGCTCAAGTGAGGGGTCCCCTCTTTGGATGGTGGCTGAGAACTTCTGAATCATGCGTAGTCAAGTGGCTGGTGGGCAGGGAGAGACACCACTCTCAAGATTTGGTAGAGACCCAGATCTCCAGTGTCATCCAAATCTCAACTGGTCTTTCCTCTCCCTTCATTTTTTTTCCTTCTCTCTTCTTTCAATCTGGGAAGTGAAAACAGTGCTTATAATTAATGTTCTGCCCCGTCCTGTCTCTTGGATGTCCTAGATGGCTGGGGAACAAACTAGTCAGACTTTCAGCCTCTTGCCTGGACTATTCTTATCTTTTCAGAATGATTCACAGGGTTAGGATATCCAGATCTTCACAGGGTGTGTTAGTCAACTTTTTCATCACTGTGATCAAAATTCCTAACAACTTAATAAGGAAAAGCTTATTTTGGGTTTACAGTTTCAGAGGTTTAGTCCATCGTCAGCTGACTGACTCCATTCCTCTGGGCCTCAGGTGAGACAGAGCATCATGGCAGAAGGGTGTGGCAGGGGAAAGTTGCCAAACTCATACCAGCCAGCAAGCAAAGAGACAAAGACAAAATATAGTCCCCAAGAGCATGCCCCCAGTGACCTGCTTCCTCTATCCATGCCCCACCTGCCTCCTATAGTTACCACCCAGTAATCCATCCAAATTAGTGATCCACCAAATGGATTCATCCACTGATTAGGTTACAATGCTCATAATCAATCATTTCACATCTGAACAGTCCTGCATTGGTGAACATGAATGTTCTGGGGTTCACCTCCAATTCAAACCATAATATAGGGTTAGAATCCCCAGGTCTTCATGGAGTTAGAGTTCCCAGAGGAAAAGTCAAACCCTCTGAGGTTGAAGTTCCCAGAGAAGTTATATCACATCCACCCTTGGATATCCCAAGTTCATGGACATGATTGCCGTCTGGGGTGAGAATTCTGGACTACAGAATCTGTAGTCTAAGGTTTTCTTGGAGTTAGAAGCCCCCAAAGAGACACTTTGGATTAGAGGTTGAGGGTTAGAGTCCCCCTTCTCTTTCTTTCTGGCTGGCCATCTGTCCTTTCCACTCAAACCTTCTCGCTCCAAGCCCGCGCGCATGCTTGGAGTTCTGATTCCAGCCAACAACATGGAGGAGGTCCGAGGTACCTACAAACTTCCTTGTGGACTCTGAACAGTAACTCGGGAAGAGCCTTGGCCAGTAAGAAATCCCCTCTTTGTTTAACATGGGAGCTGCCTGCTAGGTCTTAATTCATTCTAAACGGCCCCTCTCCAAACTTGATTGCACTGAGACTGGGATGGAAAACAAGCCCAAAGGAAGGCCATTGACCCTCCCTGTAACATGCGACACTGTCTGCCTTCAGTTGCCCCATGTTTTTCTATATGTTCGATTGTCCCTTGGGAACACCTTTGAGACGACTCTTACGCTGCAGTGACAGGGTTAACGTCAGAGGCTTTTAGCTCCCTCTTTGGCTTTTCCCTCCTCTCTCTTCTGCTATTTTTACTAAGATAATTTTATCATTCAGGCTTGCTGTGCCCTCTTCCCAGTGCTCACAAGATGGCTCACTTGCATTCCTTCCCCAGGGAGGTATTCTTTTTATGATGGCAGCTTTCAACATTTGAACAAAGTCGAAGCACATAAGCACTTTAACAGGCGTCTTTGCCGTCCACAAGAGCAGGGCATGGCCTCGCCATCCCAGCAGGGAACAGATCTGCCATTTCCGCCTGCCGTCCTCTCCCAGGTCCCCAGGGAAGCTTCAGGCTCTCACTCTCCCGCCCTCACCTGGACCCTGCATGGGGCTCTCTGCATGGGGGCGGGGTAGGAGCCAAGAGGCTTGAGCCAGTTCTCAAAATGTTTTTTTTTTTTTTTTTAAATATGTGTATTTTTATATGATTTGGCAATTTTAATAATACATACTCTTGAAATAATGTACTGTCCTACCTAAGTGTGCACAATTAGAGTTAATGAGCATTTTTTTAATGTTTAAGGAGACAGAAATGCAAATTACTTTGATCTGATCATTACATATTGTATACAAGTATTGAATTCACACTCTACCTCATAAACCTGTACAATTAAAGTATTTGTAATTGATGAAAATATAAAAAAGGTATAAAATAAAAAATCTTCACATCAATCTCCATGTGATCCATCCACCCAATTTGTACCCCCTTCCCCATGTACCTCCAAGTAACCACTTGTACTAGTTTCCAGGTTAAGTACTATAATAGCCTGTTCTCCATGGATCAATGTCTAATTCTCCCTGGGCACCCCGTATCTCTCCTTTCTCCAACTGCCTTAAGCATTTTACTGTGCCTTTGAAAGAGCCATTATTCTAGCTTACACTGTATTATAATCAAGTAAGTTGTTTACTTACATGTCTTAAAAGCAAGGATGAACAAATGTTTCCCATGAAGGACTAGATGGTAGATAATTAGCTTTTGCAGGGCGAGAGGCAAAGTGGAGGATATTATGTAGATATTTATATAATAAAAGAGAAAAAGATTTATGCACACTTTTTGCTGATTAAATTCAAAATATAATAACAATAATTGAGTATAATGTTTTTTGTAATATAGGCCAACTAATGAGGAGAATACCATAAATATTTATAGACATTGAAATTTGAATTCCATGTACTTTTACATGAAACAAAATATTCTTTTTTTATTAAAAAGTATTTTAACATTTAAAAATCTCAGCTCACAGTTTATACAAAAACAAAGAGTGACCAAATTTGTCCTACAAACTCATTTTGCTGACCCCTGTTCTACTGTGTGTGACCATCTCCTCTGGCTTCTTTACCTTAGCACTTATGACACCAGTAGGGTTTAAATGTTCTCCACAGGCTCATATGCTAAAGATTTGCCCAGCAGCCCATGGCACTATTGAGAAGAAAGTTGCGTCACTTGGATTGGGTTCTTGAAGGGATTACTGGGACATACTGGGACCCTCACCCTTTCCTCTCTTTCTCTCTCTCTGCTTTCCAGTTGCCATGAAGTGAACAGCTTTGTTCCACCACACTGTGGTGTGGTGCCTCACCATAGGCCCAAAAGTTAAAGAGCCAGCCAACCAAGGATTGAAACCTCTGAAACTGTGAGACCAAATAAACCTTTCCTCTTTTTAAGTTATTTATCTCAGGTATTTTGTCACAGTGTCAGAAAGCTGACTAACACAGGTACCTTGCAGAGTCTTAGTGTTTGTTGAATGGATTACTCTACAAGGATTTCATCCAGCAAGTAATAATGGCTTAAATTAGTGAGCCTAATTTTGCCAGACATGGAACTGAGAACTTTACATTTGCTTGGTAGCCCACCACTTTACATTTGTTTACTAACCCACCTAGTAAGGCTGCACTAGTATTATCCTTATAGTAGTATAGATAAAGAAACTGAGGAACAAGGAGTGCACTGTTTCTTGCCATGAAGAAATTAAGTGGGAGAGCTTTGTCTGATGCCCAATCTTGTGACCCCTGTGGCTCAGTTCCTGCAAGCCCTCAGATGGCTTTGGATAGCAGCAGATTTCCAGAACTGAGAGATTCTCTTAGAGCAGGGGGCTCACGGCAGGGAGAAGGCTAGTTTTAGGAAGGGAGGGATCTTCTGAGCATAAGCAGGAAGGGGAGGGCTTCCCAGTGGCAGCACCTTCTAGAAGCTCTTGACCATATAGTGACCCAAGGACATGTGTCGTTTTTACCAGCCCCACATTTGAACAGGGGCAAGAGCAGTCCAGGAGTTTAGACTGATTTATCATTGAATCAGGTCATTGTTCTCTTTCATGTAACAGAATTTTATTTCCCATGTTGCTAGGTGCATGCCAAAAATGTGGATCAGAACTATCAAAAGGATGGTACAGGAGATAATTCAGTAACACGGGGAAATGTTGCTAAAGAGGAACAGTAGGTTCAAAGTAATATGAATACCACGACCTTGCTTATTTCTTTTTTCAATCTTTGTATTCTTAGCTTGTTTTTGCAGTGCTGGGAAGGGAACCCAGGGCAAATGCTTGACCACTGAGCTTCCCC